GACAGTAAATGGCAGATGGGGTCGCCCCCAGTGCTGGGTAAGTGAAAAACCCAGGGGGAGCAGAGTGGGACACACCATGTGTTCGGGGGTTTCACGTGCACAAGGACCCTCCTCAAACCTGCCTCTGAGGTGAGAGCCTGAGCCGTTTAAGGCTGTCATTTCTGTGGGTCAGAAATGGTCAGATACTGGCAATGTCATATGGTTCAATTTATGCTCGGGGCAACACTGGCAAAATGGAAAGAAGTGTTCACCTAAGATGCAAGATGCGTAGACTTTTTGTAACCTCCTTTGCCACTTCTCCTCCCCCTCCTCCCTCTTTTTACTTTAAACTACGTCAGGAGTCTAACGATCACTCTCATTCATCACGTGAGAGCATCTCACGAGAAAGATTAAAACCGCCGTGTGCCTATATACATACACTGTGTATACATACGCGTTTGTGTATACTGTGTCCCCGCATATGGGTACAGTGTACACGTGTCCAAGGACATAGAGCACCTTCCCCTGGTGGCCAAGCCCGTGTGAAACACAGCGCAAGCCCCGCTCCTGCCCTCACTCAGTGCCAGCTGGCCGCTCAAAGGCCCTGTGGCCAGGCCTCAAGCTCAGCCCCAGCAGAAGAGGGAAGGGGTGCTTTTGGGGAGCAGGACGCTCTGGCCGCCGGCGCCCCGGGCCTCGGGTTCAATGGATTTTCCAGTGCTGAAGTGATTGATAATAAACAAAAAAATGTCTAAGGCTGCAGTATACTTTGTGCTGCCTAACTGCCCACCTGGAACTCAGGTGTTCAGAGGCGAAAGAAATGAAAGGCCCAGAAGGCAGGGCCCGTGTCCTTTGGGTAGGAGCGTGGGCACCCTGGCTCTGCGGCACCCTGGCTCTGCAGCACCCTGGATCTACGGCATCCTGGCTGCAGGAGCTGGGGCAGGTTTCTCATCCAAGTCCCGCATCCTCACCTGAGAAAGGAGGCGATGCCAGCAGGACTGTCTCGGGCTGTTGTAGTTTCAGGGAGATGAGGGTAGGAAGCCCTCAGCACAGTGTCTTAGACACAAAGGACCAAAACATGATGGGTGACCAAGGCCTCTGAAATTGCTTTCCCTAGAGATTAAAAAAATCTGCTCCAGGGAGATCAGGTGTGGTCTGAACAACAATGGCTTTGCCAGTCTTTTCATGTCATTTCCAGCCCACAATCTCCCTTCCTGCTGACGATAGCCCCAATGACGATAGCTCCTGCGATCCATAGCCCCAATGCCCAGACACTGAGGCAGGACTCCTTTCCTTTGACACCTTAACTTAAAACAATGGGTTGTTTTTTTTTAGTCTCAAAGCCAGGCTTTTAGGCACCCTGCCAGCAGGCAAGCTGACTGTTTTCCTTCAGAGGGTCCCAATTCCCATCGTGCAACTTAGAACCTGAGTAAAAACGCAAAACAATAAACCGTCTGCCAGACTTCCAGACAGTGCAATTTGCGAAAAGTGCTTTTACATCTTAGTGGGACTCTGCACTGAGCCAGGATTAATTAGTTGCCACATTAAAGGAAAGCACCTTGAACATTTCGATGACATAATCATATGCAATTAAGATCACACGAAGGAACACTTCATAATGAATGATGCTGCCACTTCCTGAACTGTGTAATCCTTCTGTCTCGAATCCCAGAGGTTGGCAGAAGGAAAGCGCTAAATATAGATCAGGAACTAATATTTAAATCAGTTTTTAATTCACCTTTCGACGTGAGCGGTAGAACCAGAATGGAAGCTCAGCCTTATCAGGACTCTAAGTCCTTCTATGAGGCTAAATATTCAGCAACAACAAAGCTGCAGAGAAAGGGTCAACAATTACAGCCCCCAAGTGACTGCCCCTAGACAGCAATGTTTGCCCTGGTCGGAACATTAACTGCTTTTCCAGAAATGATGAAAACTCACCCCAACTGTCCTGGCTCTGGCAATGATGCTGTATTATCATAAAACAAAGCTTCTTGACATGTCTCTGTCACTCAAAAATGAACATGGTTTTTCTCTTGATTATGAAGTTTCCCACAAATTTGCAAACCCCATGTACCAAGCAAGCATTGTTCTAAGTACTGACCATGCAACACTGGCTTTGTCTTCACAGCAATGCTAAGCCAGGCTTGGCAGGATCCCACCTTATAAATGAGGACACAGAGGCACCAAACTGTCACATAACATGCCCAGGCTACCATGCCCCCAGGAAAGGCCCATGTGCGGGAGCTACAAACCAGATGAGACAGACTTTCTAGATTTTAACATTCACTCCATCACTCCAGCAACCATGAGGGCTTCCAGGAAAAAAAATCTCCATAGCACAGCTTTTTCTCCAAAAAAACCCCAACAAAAACAAACAAAAACCAAAAACAGCAACAACCAAAACTGCATCAACTGCCTCTATTTGATTTTCCAGCTTGCTTCACAGTGCAGTTATCTGCTTTCCTCAATGAACTATGGAGGTGGCTGGTGCTCCACCTCCCCAAGGCAGCCTCAGGTCAGGCAAGGATTTACCTTGTCATAATAGTATCGCAGGGCTCTGCTCAGCTTATCGTAGTTCATGTTCGTTTTGTTTTTGCGGAGTCCCCACAGCTTGGCCACTTCTTCTGCTTTGAGGAGCTTGAATTCACCATCGTTGGACGTCCAGCAGATCAGATGCTCATGTTTCTGGTCCAGCAGCAACTGCAACAGGAACTGCCACAGCGTGATTGCACTCTCCATACCTGGGGAGGAAGGGGGCAGGTCAGAGGGCAGTGCACAGCCAAGCCTGGGGGAGGGGGACTGCGGATGAGTGCCCCAGCTCCCCCCTCATCTGCCCCCCCGGAACCTAATAACGTCAAGTTCGTGTTCATCCCAACAGGCCACTCTGAATCAGGTGCCTTGGGCTGCATTTTGTAAACAGTTACAATTCAGAAATACAGGGGAGCCCTGTGATCCTCACATTCACAACACACATCCCGGCAAGTGACAGGGTTGCATTGGAAATCAAATGAAAAATGATTAATGAACTGCTCCCTTGTGGAATCAGTCCCCATTCAAACGATTCCCCACTTCACACTAGTGTCTGTTCCCACCCACCCTATCAACTCCTCTGGTGGCGGGTCTCTAGTCCGTTAATTGCTATGAATGCTGGACCCCTTGGTACGTGCCTTTGCGGGGCAGCCTGGGGGAACGGGGTTGGGGTATGTAAGTCAGTGTAACTGCAGGATGAGTTTCACTGTAGCGAGGAAGGGTTTTGTTAGATTAGTCTCTGTGTTCCCAGCGCTCTGATGACCTAGCGCAATGCTCAAATGTAGCATGCACCAGCCGACAGACGTCTGTCACTTGAAGACTCCTTCCTCTACTTTCCCGGGCATGCACCGTGTTGCAGATCAAACCCCACTGTCCCTAGTGCAGAGATGGGAATACCATTCTCCAGTGTGGACTTTGTAAGTACTGTTCCTTCTGCCTAAAATGCTGTCCTCTAGCTTTGGAGGCTGGTGAGCTACTCATTCATCGGGCCCAGTTCAAATGGGGCCTTCTCGAGGGCATCTCCCCCCACCTCCTCAGGCACTTTCCCAGCTTCAGACGTTGGAGGACTTCCATGGCAGTGGGTAGCAATCCTAAAAACGGTACCAGCAGCAATAATAATCACAGCAACAATCCATTTCTCTTATCAACATACATGAAACCAGGAAAAGAAGAGGTGGTGGGCTGTAATCAAAAGCTCACCTCAGAGCAACTGTCACGACTGGACACGTGACGTGCACTGGGTTCTGACGTGGGCGGGATGGGGTGACAGTTAGTGCTGGGCCAAGGAGGCCAGGGACTAACAGAGGGTGGAAAGTTAGCTTCTAGTATGAAGAGCAACTCTAAAAGCAGGCCGTGAGCTGGGGACAAAGCCAGAAAGAACTACGATAGCAACGAGGGGACAATGAAGTTCTAGGAGGCAGCCAGGCATGACTGGAACAAGGGAACAGTGAGAAAGGTCCACGCCCCTGGGAGGCAGAATAATTGCTTCGGGAGAGTTATCTGCTCCAACACTTGTGTCATCTGCGCAACTCCTCTCCTGCACTCCTCTTACAGGGGCGCATGTGGGCTGACAAACTGTTTCCCCTTCCACATGGCAACGGGTGTGAAAATACCCAGCCACCCAATAAGTATTCATGTCCTCATTTCCTTTCACATGTTTAGCCAAAAGAACACGTTTTATTGTTTCTCCTAAGCAACGTGGGTTTCTCAATTAAAGGAAAGCAGATTAGGAATGTTCTCCAAATACCCATACAGCATTTTATTTATGGCTCTTTAAAGGAGAAATCAACCTTCCCCACAATGGCCACTCAGTCTGCGAGACTGTAAATCACTGAGTTGTTGGATCAAAACCGCCTCTGCCTCTCACGATCCTTGTAAGCGCCACTGCTGTGATACGAGGCAGCCTGCCGGCTCCGGCTCCCAACAGGAACCACCCTTCCAGTTACGGGGGATGGGATGAGCCACACACTTTCTTCCCATCACTGGCGCCAAGAATTGCTGACAGCTGTCTCAAAATCTTTGGCTTTATTTTTTGGCCAAACCCTTCAGAAAGTAAGCTTTAAAATTTCTTTGAAACTTGAAGGAGATGCTAGAGGAGTCTGGGCCTCCCAGACTTCTTGAAGGAGGATGCAAAGGGCAGAAGGCTGCCAGGGGCATTGGAGGTTTGGATGCAAGGGACCTGTGGAAAGTGGTCGGCCACCCGCCCCTCCTCCACCTGTAACGGACATGAACCACTGTGCTCCAGAGGGGACAGGAGGCCACTGGAAACATCTCTATGCATTTTACACTCAGTCCTTCTTCCACCCAGGACTCCTCAGAGCTCCTTGAGCTTCCTGGAATCCCTTTTCTCATGGCGTTCCCATGTCGTGCATGGGAGCATGTTCTCCAGCCATAGTTATGAGGACCCACATGGCAGACTGGGTAAACGCTCTCAAACCTTCCCTCCTTCCTCTGTCCACATAATCGTGCAACAGTGCGCTAGAATGGAGCGGGTACCTTTTCCCCATCCCACTGAAATTTGGGCTTGGCCATGAGCTTTGACTTGGCCAATGGAACGGTGATAGAAGCTATAATGTGCTGATTCTCAGCCAAGGTCTCAGAGGTTTTCGCATGTTTGTACTTTTCCTCCTGTGCTCCTGTTACTACCATGAAGTCACTGACCCAAAATGTGACACATGGGCCCAACCTGAACTCAACCTGAAGCCTGGAGCCAAGTCTCAGGACCCACAGTCTGAACGAGCATCCCTGAAGCCAAGCCATGAGAAACACAAATGATGCTGTAAGCCAGCAAGAGTAGAGGCAGTTTGTTACACAGCACCATTGCAGCAGAAGTTGACTATTACAATGCCTGATGCCTTTGCTTAAAAAAAATTCTCTCTTCACTGGGGTGCAATGTCTTTACACTATAGTACATCATCGGCACTTTACAGAAAGTATTCAACAAGATGTAGAGGGATCCTGCAGATCACGTCTTTACTCAGAGGGCTACAGTGGGCTCAGTGATGACCATGAGTACAACGGCCATGGCTAAGACAAAGGCAGGAGGAAAGGGGGAAAGAAAACCAAGGGGTAGAGAGTAGAAATGAAAAGTAGAGGAGCAAGTGGTGGAGATGGGGGCCTCCAGATCTGGGGCCTCCCAGACTTCCAGAAGAGAGGAACCGGGCTGAGGGGAGGCATGGAGCTGTGAACTAGGACTTACAGAGCTGCCCTGCAAACTCTCAGATGCCAGGAGAGCTTGAAGGTGGCTGGGTGGGTGGCTGTGGAACATTCCCTCCCTTCCCCCTCATTCTCACACGCCGAGGTGTTACAGACGGGCTACCACTACGGACTGGAGGTACTGGGAAGGGTTAAGGGTGAATAACACCGCTCCACCAGAGGTGACGAAGGCATCGGGAATTCCTGCCTAAAGCTGAGGGCCTTCTCCTCTCCGCCAGCTCTCTCCAGCCACCCTCCACCCTGGCTGGGCCACCAGTTTCGATGATTGCACAGCACACAAATCTTCACTGTTGAAAATCCCAGTCACACATTACTCAGAGATGAGTCTCAGAAATATTTCCCTGTGAGCTAATCATCACATCTAGAAACATCTGTCACTCCCTTCAACACTTGGCAGAAGTAATCCTGGGATAGAGTGGGCCCCAAAGACAGCTGTGGACCCTCCCACACCCTCTGGCCAGAGCCATAGGTGGGATTAAAATGTGT